TGTCCATTTTAAAACCGAAATATTCAGCATAAGTCTCCTTAACAAAGTCTGTGATATTTTGTTTTTGTTTTTTTAATATATAAATACCACAAATATAACAAAATAAATCACTACTATATTTTGTAACGGGTATTCACCGCTCTCTTGGTCGCTTCTTAATTTATTTAAGGCGCCACTGGATTTTTCCCGCAGTATCCAGAAACTGGCCCAGAACAAGGAGTGAAAACTCAGGGTCGGAGAGATTGTCAGGAAGGATACAGAAATTATAATCAGAAATTCATTTTTACAACTCATTTTATTTAACCAACCCTTAATACACAATAAAATCCCCTTACAAAATATCAAATCACTTACTCCCGACGATATCCTCTTATGGAGCGTCCTATCGCGGTTTCTAGCTTACTACCGTTGTACCCCAAATCCGGCGTCTATACAACGGCTTCTAAGCGTGCCCAGGAAGCAGAGGAGGATACTATGAATCCCTAGGCTACACTGCAATATTATTTACCATTTTCCAAACAAACTCACAATATTTATTTAAAATGCTTATGCCTATTGCACCCCCGACCCGGGCGTCTATGCAAAGGACTCTAAGTGTGCCCAGGAAGCAGAGGAGGATACTATGAATCCCTAGGCTACACTGCAATATTATTTACCATTTTCCAAACAAACTCACAATATTTATTTAAAATGCTTATGCCTATTGCACCCCCGACCCGGGCGTCTATTCAAAGGACTCTAAGTGTGCCCAGGAAGCAGAGGAGGATACTATGAATCCCTAGGCTACACTGCAATATTATTTACCATTTTCCAAACAAACTCACAATATTTATTTAAAATGCTTATGCCTATTGCACCCCCGACCCGGGCGTCTATTCAAAGGACTCTAAGTGTGCCCAGGAAGCAGAGGAGGATACTATGAATCCCTAGGCTACACTGCAATATTATTTACCATTTTCCAAACAAACTCACAATATTTATTTAAAATGCTTATGCCTATTGCACCCCCGACCCGGGCGTCTATTCAAAGGACTCTAAGTGTGCCCAGGAAGCAGAGGAGGATACCATGAATCCCTAGGCAACACTACAATACTTAATATCAAACCCACCCACATTATTATTTCCAAACCCACTAATTATCACTCCGGATTTTACAAATTTATTTTCCAAAATCAAATGAAATCCGACTCGATGCCTGGATCCATTTATCCCTTCAACAATTTACAAAACCCGAGTTCCTAATTTATTTCTAAAATTCCTAATCTTAATTTTAAATTAAAATCACTAACTAATTTAATGTCGTGGTCTTAATAATACAACAATTAAATATTTAATATCAAGAGGTCTTCGTATCTTGTATTAATAGGTTAAAATCTATTGACAGAGGTCTTAATAATCTGCCAACAATGTGTTGGTTACTTCCGAGAGTTACAATTTTAATGTACTGAATTTACTTAATTTAATTTATAAGTTGTTGTGTTAAATTATTTTAATTCGTCTAATTTATTCTACCAGAATTTATCAGTTTATTTCTCCAGATTATTTTAATTTATTTAATTAAGATTTTAACTTTCAATGACTAAAATTTTATCAATTCATTTCATGTAATTTATTTTTACTAAACTGTTTGGCTTGTCCTTCAATAATCGAGTTTTATTTTCTCTACGTTATTTTATTTTACGTTCTATTGTGTTGCATGAAAAACTTAGCATTTATTTTATTTTGTTTGAGGATTATATTCTGCCTAGCAACACAGTACGATTTTAGTCTCGACTTTGAATGTCCTCTACTCAGCGCTTCGCGCGGGACAAGATGGCTGACGCTCTCGCTCGGTCTGGCGTCTTTGTCGCACATTTTTGGTAATTTTTTTTCCAAACAGATTTTTACAAGTTTCGTTTTCTACTTTCAATTAATAAATTTAC